CTGAGGACCCCACCCCACAAATACCTCCATTTCCCCATAAATACCCCCACCTGCAAAAATAATCATCCTCCTGGAATAAGCCCCACTCCCTGGGAAATGAACACCTCCACCCCTCAAAGCCATCCTGAACTGAGGCCAGGCCCCCCTCAATATCTTCTCCAAATAAACTCTCACCCGTCAAAAATAAACGTCGCACCCACGTGCAAAACCATCCCAGAGTGAGGTTGGGGATGTCCCAGTAAATAAACACACTCCACCCCAGAACAACCCCCTTAAAATCAACACATTTCCCAATAACATAACGCACCCCCAAAAACACAGGACTGCCTGCTATCTTCCCCCTGAAAATTTAACACCCTCAACCTACACCACACCCCAAAATAAACCTGCATAACACAGCCCCCACCACCAATAAACTTCTCCACCAAAATGCACCTGCCCAACAACAGACCCCACCCCCATCGCAAACCTCAAACACACCACCTTCCTCACACCCAGCATCGTCCCACTGCACCCCCCTCCCCTTCACAAAGAAACCCCAACACCCACCCCTTTACCCTGTGGGTATAGTGACCAATATTGCAGCCCAGCTGCCAGGTCAACCTGCTGTGAGCAATGTGGACAAGGACTGAGTGGTGAACGCAGATGACAGGGTTAAGGCTATGAGGGGGAGGGGGGATGGTGTAGTGTGAGGGGGTTGAGTTGGGGGGGAGGGGGGCTGCCAAGTATGAGGGGGTTTGGGGTAGGCAGGAGGGAATGGGGTGGGGAGTGTAGGATGGAGGGGATCTGAAGAAGCAGTATATGTTGGAATACAGTACTTGAGCAGCTTGGGTCAACACTGTTGTAGAGAATGCAGCCGCTATCCTCTGGTCTCTCATTGCCAAGGCTTGAGGGATGGAAGATGTTTGTTAAACAGCATCCACCTTCCTTAAAGTGATAGGGTTTGTAAGTTTGAAGCGGAATCCATCCTCTGTCCAGTTTTCTCAGCCTGACTGTCTGTTACTGACTCTCCTTTCTCCTATTGTCCTTGTTTTTTATCTCCTCATCTTTCTGTACATCTGTTTTTAAGTCTCATTTTCTGACCTGGTTTGAATCCTGATTTCCAGCCTTTCGTTTAGAAGCTCCTTCAAGCTCACAGTTTGTCCTGAGCCAGCTTTCTGTTTTGAGTTGTGCAGCTGTCCATTAGAATGGTGCTGTTGGGTATTCTCCTTAACTGGAGGCATGGAATCTTCCTGCTAAGCTCCTGATTCCAGCCTCAGGGGCTCTGCCATGACCGATTAGTCAAGGAGCAGGAGCTGGTATTCAGGCACCAGACTGTGAGCAGTATTCCAGGCAATCAATGATATGAAGGTGAAGGGTCTAGGCCCGAAACGTCAGCCTCTCTGCTCCTATGATGCTGCTTGGCCTGCTGTGTTCATCCAGCCCTGCACCTTGTTGTCAATGATATGAAGGTGTTCCCTGAGCATGCCTAAGCATCATCTCTGGAAAGAGTTCACTCAAGCCTAGCTGTGAGAATGGGTTTCTGCCCAGCAGATACTGAACCTTCAAACAGATTGCGTGCTGTTCTACTTGGTTAAAAAGATTGGATTGAATTGTTTCCTGAGCAGCATGGTGGCTCAGTGGTTAGCACTGCTGTCCCGCAGTGCCTGGGACCCTGGTTCGATTCCACCCCCGGGCGACTGTACATTCTCCCTGTGCCTACATGATTTTCCTGTGGGAGCTTTGGTTTCCTCCCACAGGCTAGGTGGGTTGGCCATGTTAAATTGCCCATCGTGTCCGGGGATATGCAAGCTAGGTGAGTAAGCCATGGTTAACATGGGGTTATGGGGATAGGGTAGGGTAGGGTGAGTTTGGGTGGGATGCTGTTTAGAGGGTTGGTGCTGACTCGATGGATCAAATGGCCTCTTTCCACACTGTAGGAATTCTGTGATTCTAATGCTTCTGTTTAGGGGAGGGTGTCAAAGCTGTCCCCAGAGGTTCTGTATCTGGTAACCTTGGGTGGGGGTGGGGAAGAGCTGGAGGGGTTTGAATCGCATAATGCGTGTGACTGGGGTCATGCCAATAAGGAAATGGCTTGCTTCCATATAACACTTTTTCTATCCCCATCATGTCCCCAACCACACAGTGCTTTAACATTTTGAGGCACAATGTGAAAAATGAGCTGCTAATTTGCTTTAGTGCTAAGGCTTGGTCCAGGGCCAGAGGGAGAGCTACTACCACCACCACAACACATACAGACAGACATACAGAGAGACGTGTAAACACATTTACACGTACAAACTGGACAATGTTTAGTATTTAATGGAATGACCGTACAGCCCAGAAGGAAGCTGATTTGTTCATTATGTTTGCTGTCTTCCAACAGCCCAGCAGATTTTCCACTGCGAATATTTTACCAACATAGAACATTACAGCGCAGTACAGGCCCTTCGGCCCTCGATGTTGCGCCGACCTGTGAAACCAATCTGAAGCCTATGTAACCTAAACTCCATTTTACATGTTACTGTTGAATCTGCTTCCACATCCCTTTCAGGTAGCACATTCCCAATGACAGTTCACTGGGTGGGTGAAACATCCCATTTGTTCATTTGACAATCGCCTTAAATATCTGTCCTTTGCTTACTGATCTTCCTGCCACCAGGACCAGTTACTCTTTACTCTTATCAAAACCCCAGCAAGTCTCCCTATTTCCCCACCAAGGGAAGCAATCCCAGCTTCTCCAGGGTATCCGCATTTACTGAAATTCCTCGTCCTTGGACCTACTCCTGTAAATCTCAACTATATTTTCTCTAAAACTACAATATCGTTTGACAATCAGTCTGGGAGCCAAGCTGGTGTTTTATAAGTTTTGGATGAACTACTTCTGGTTTTTGTACCATAGGGGGTCGGTATCTGTACAGCAAAGGAACCAATTTATTTTTTTAAATAGCTTTCTCAACTTGTCCTGTTACCATCATAGTTTCTTGTATATATACCATGATCTCTGACTGTACACTGAATTTTAATAGTATAGTATATTTTATATCACCTCTCTTCCCCTCAAAGTGAATCTTGAGCAGTGTGGAATATGAACTTCTCTATTGCCCAATGCCAGATATGATGTTGAGGTCAATTTAAACATGTTCCAGGCAGCATGCCTGTGAAATTCAGCATTGTTGAGGGTGATTGTGAAGTCAAACTCCTGAACATTTCACAGTGCGGGTGAAAGCCAATTGTCCAGCTGGTTCAATGTTTGCTGGAGAAATGTCCCTTTCTATTCAATGGTTGTCACTTGAGACTGGCTGCTTCTGATTATGCTTTCTAAGCTTTCAACCCCCAACCTGACCCTGCACTGAAACAAATTTGCAGTGTTTCCAACTCTCTCACTCCATAGCTCATGTCCTGTTGATCTCTGCTCCTGAAGTTGCTGATGCAGCATCACAAAGTTGATCTTTGAGCCTAGATTTCTCACTCAAACTTGTGACCCCTTTTCATACTTCCCACAAACTGATTTATGGCTTGAGAAAATTGAGGAAGTGATTGATGCAGTCAGACTGACATTTATCAAATCCAGGGATAGGCTGAATAGATCAAAACTTTCCTTCATTGCTGGTTATAAAGGTCCAGATGTGAAATGAATCTGGAGGTGGTTGCAAACCAGATTAACTGTAGGCACCAATGTGTGGGACAAAAACAAAAGCTCAGCAGGTCTGGCAGCATCTGTGAAGGAAAAAACAGAGTTGACGTTTCCGGTCTGGTGACCCTTCCTCAGAACTATTTACACCATCCGCAGTTCTTTCGGATTTTATTTAGTATTTAACTCACTGCCACATCTTTTCCAGGCATGCCGAGGAAGGGTCACTGGACACGAAACATTAACTCTGTTTTTTCCTTCTCAGATGCTGCCAGACTTGTTGAATTTTTCCAGCAACTTTGTTTTAGTTCCTGATTTACAGCATCCGCAGTTCTTTCGGTTTCTACCAATGTGTGGGACCCAAGCTCAGAGGACCAACGGTATGGAAGGTTGAGATAAAACACTAAGACAAGGAGAAGGTTACTGATGTTGCATTGTATTTTTGCAGCTTTTATCTATCTAACCCTGTGCTGTTCCTGCTGTGGGATTGTTTGGGGACAGTGTAGAAGAATCTTTACTCTGTATCTAAACCTGCACTGTCCCTGTTATGGAAGTGTTTGAAGGAGGACAGTGTCAAGGGAGCCTTACTTTGTATCTAACCCTGTGCTGTGTCTGTCCTGGGAAAGTTTGATGGGAGCAGCCTAGAGGGAGCTTTACTTTCAGTTTAAAAGAGTTGAGCAAGCATTATCTAACCCTGTGCTGTCCTTGTCTTGTGTTTATTTGATGGGGAC